GGGGGGGGGAGTGACTCGACAAAACTTGATCGCTCTATGCAATACCCGAAATATTGAGGGGGGGCGAAGCCCCCTGGGGTTGGCGGGCGAATATGGGGGTCAAACCGTTATAAAATACTAATACGAGTATACCTCAAGCTATTCTACGTAAATAAATGGAAAAATGAATGATTGAGTCTCACGACAAAGACGTTGGTGAGAGCCTTTTGTAAATAATAAAAATCTCAATTTTTCACAGGAAATAAATCATTCTATCAATTTTTTTTCTATATAATACGAACACCTAAACATGGGCAAGAAGATTGGGGAGGGGGAGTGGGCGAAGCGAGCGGAGGGGGGGGGGGCTAAGCCCCCCCGGGGTTGGCGAGCGAATATGGGGGGCATAGGAGGGTCAAATCGTTACAAAATAATAATACGAGTATGTCTCATGCTATTCTACGTAAATAAGTGGACAAATGAATGGCTGAGTCTCACGAAAAAAGGCGTTGGTTGGAGCCTTTGGTAAATAATAAAAGTCTCAATTTTTCAAAGGAGATAAATCATTCTATCAATTTTTGTTTTCTATATAATACGAACACCTAAATATAACCAAGAAAATTGGGGAAGAGCGAGCGAAGCAGACGGGGGGCGAAGCCCCCCCGGGGTTGGCGAGCGAAGCGAGCGGGGGGCTAAGCCCCCTAGTGATTCAATAAAAAATAAAAGAAAAAATATTGTTAAATGAAAATTACAAATCAATCTTTCTTCACGAGGAACAATAAAAAATTGTTCTCTTGAATGGTTTTTTTTTTCAATATATTTTCTCATCTTTACTTAGAAATTAATTTCTAGCAAACTTTTCATACAAGAATATTTCAAAGGAATTCGCTTAATCAGTTGTCCTTTATTCTTGATAATTTTATCGATCAATTGTTTATTCTTTTGGTCACGGACTGGTTTTGTTATCTTGAGAGCGTGAGAGATTGTGGGGGAGAAGAATTGGGCACTCCTTGCACTGCAATTTTTATTTGTCCAATTTGTTCTTTTATCCTTAAGCAATTTGTATTTTTTAATTATTTATTGTTGTCGTTGTCATCAAGGCCTCCTGCACGCATCCGGTGTGATCTAATTAGCAGGAAGACGATTAGTTTAACGCTCAAGTGCGAGAGTCATTCTTGAATATTTAAATGACTCCTCAAATAAGTGGATTTTTTGTGTTCTTTTCATTTGCATTTTTATCTTTTACTTCGATTCCACGAGCTGCGCTTGTTTTATTTATTTATGTCAGTTAATGTTCAAGGTCGGAATGGGGATAATTCACTGCCGGGGATAATTATTTTGCTTATTTATTTTATTATTCATCTGCGGAATTTGTTGAGTTGATAATTCAAGACAATCCGGAAATCATTAATTTTTTTTATGTTACAAATTTTTTAATGGAAATATTTTATGTCAAAAAATATAGAATTAGACGTCAAATCGGAATGAAATGAAAAAATTTTTATTTATTTTTTATTTAAAAAACGAAATTGTCTTCAATTCTTTGGACGCCAATATTTCGTTAATGAGCGCTTCTATCAAAAAATGTCATAAGAGATTTTTCGTTGGAAATTTAATTCTCTGCAAAAAATGTCGACTGACATTTCCCTCAAAACCCCCTCATATTCAAGATAATGCCCCGTTTTCCAAAAAAGTTCCAAAAAAAATTCTCCCGAAACCCAAAAACGTAAAAAAAATTATAAAAAATACTCACAGCACTCCCGACGAATCCCGTATTATCCCTCGACATGATCCAGTCACTCACAAAAAACGTTTCAAAACTCAAAAAAAAAAATCAAAACGAAAAAAAAAAATTTTTGTTTTTCGTCAATCTGAATTCGTCATTCTGACAGGTGCGGTAGTCGGAATGAAACTGTTCTATCAGCGTCTACCGTACAAATTCATATACCACCCGCCAACGCCACTCCACACATTGACAATGCGCCATAACTCACGTCTTACCTTGAAATACTTAACACAACTTCACACGTACGTAAACTTCTGTACCTACGATTTTATTATATTATCCAGTCGAGCAAATATAACTGAACATTATGGACAAACATTCCAGACGTAGTGTAATGTGTTTACATTATCTCGCGCATTTGCGTAAATTGATGAATTGTTTCGGGGGAAATCAGTCGTTACCGGGAAATTGACGATGATTTTTTTTAGCCTTTTCTGGGAGGTAATCAGTTGTAACCCCAGGATTATTGATCATTAAGGTTCGGTTACCCCATTTACCCCTTTAAGACGACAATTTTAAAATTTAGGAGAGCATTAAGTCAATTGTAATCTAAGTTTTATTGCATAATACTGATTTTTTTATGAAAAAATTGATGGATTTTTTATTGCCTCTTCATTTCATTTTTTACCCTTTTTTTCAATAAAGATTGATGGATTTTTTAATAGACAAATTTAATTGTCTTTTTAATCTTTTTTTCTCGCAATTTTTTTCGTCTAAAATATGTTTGTTTTTATGAGAAAAATTATTCATTTACAATTTAAATTTTTTCCTTGTGTAAAAAAATTGTTTTTAATTTTTTATCGACAATTTTTTGTTTATAATTGATTTTTTCAACATTTTTTTCGTGTAAAAATGTTTTTTAAAACTTTTTTTTGTGAGTACAATTATTTATTTACAGTTTTTATTTTTCTAAATTGTAAAAAAAAAATTATTGGCAATTTTTTTTTTCATTTTTCTGAAATAAAATTTTACAGGAAAAGTAGTGGGGCAAAATGGGTTTACGATAAAGTTTTGGAATTTTTGGGGCTAATCTAATGGTGCCGCGCAATCCCCTGGGGGGTTCAATTTCCCAATAGAAGTTATAGAATTTTATTGGTTTTTAATCACCTTGAGCATAGAAAAAACTCAGGGGCATGGTGCAACGACACTCCGTATTATTACTGTGCCTAATATCGCTAATATGTGACTTGAAAGGAAAAATCTGAGGTGGAGAAGGTCGCGACATTGGAGTTATTCAGACTGAAAAAAAGGAGGAAGTGAATTTTTTTATGGTAATTGTTAATGACAATAATGTTGTTGATGTGAATTATCATCTTCCTTTCGACAATGACGAGATTCCCAGTATTCCGCGATTTTTAAAATTCATGCGAGCGTGGTGATTCAGAAATTGTCAGGGGACATCCTTAATAGATTGTGAAGATAATCAAATTCTATGAGGGATAGTTCGGGGGAGATCGTCAATGATAAAATCGTGGTTAGCGGTGAATCAACTGTGACAATGAGCAATTTCCCAGGGTTTTACATTTTAAAACATTCCTTCAACTCTAATGATTCATGAATCATCTGAGATGATCTTTAATAGATAAAGAGAGTCATCTTCAAATTGGATTTTTATCTATCGAAATCTTACAAATAATCCCTTAGATTCTTGCCAAAAACTATCTAGACTATCTAGATTCCTATAATAGATAAAAGATGGTCATCTGCTGACGAGATTTTTCGAAAAAAAATGACAATTCTTTCGCTGATGATTTTTTTCATTTTTTCTCCTCTAGAAAATTCTTTACATTCTGATGATTATCTGAACGACTTATCTCAATATTTCTCGAAGGATAAAAGATGATCATCTTTTGGTGAAAGTTTTTTTCATATAGACCTTGAAAAAAAAATAGCAGTCCTTATTTTAAAAAATTAATCCAAGTCCAAAAATCCATAGATTATATTGAAGCCCCATTCACAGATAAAACATAATCTCCTAAAACGAGAGACTGTTTTTTCAAGAATTTGTCAATGGAATTTGTCCTTGATAATAAGTCATTACCTTCCGCTCACCGAATTCCTACAACTTCATTTTCCAAAAATTCCCGCTATTCCAATAGTCCACAAACTACCTCTAAATAAATGAAAGATAATGATCTCTTAATGAGATATAAATTCGTCTCTCTCATGCCTGGAGATGCCAATTGTGTTTTGATAAGAAGATTCAACCGGAAATTGCGCAAATAACCATTGTGAAACCCTTATGTACTGATTCACTTACGTTTTATTAAGTAACTACAGTTGTGAACAAATATCATTAGATAAGATACAATAACACATGAATATCTAAATGAAGATTAATCAGGGTATAATTGAAGCTGTCACATCATTCCACAAAAACCCCAATATCTCTGGAATGGTTCGACGCATCAGACCGCGCGACCACTCAATCGACAGATCGATAAATTTCCGATCTCTCCGAAAAAAAATAAACCCATTTTGCCCCGTGGGTAACATAGATATCCGCAAAAAACAACTTCACAGCCTGCATTCATTTTTATCCATTTCCTCGATTTCTACCGGGGCAAAATGGGTTCATTTTTTTAAGCAAAAATCGGAAATTTTCCGATCCATCGATTGAAATCATGTTTACGCAATTATCTCGAATGCATCTCGAGATAACGCCATTTTTATAAAACGAGATTATCTTATCTGTGATTTTTTCTCGATTCAACTCTTCGTAATTGTTTAAATTGCCCCTTGATCAGCTCAAAGGGTGAGAAGCTGACCATATTAACGCCAAATTCACGACAAGTCTCCGCAAGTGCTGGTAAACACAGATGTAAATAGCCGTGATCAACTGTTGGCATCAGATGATGAAGACTGTGATGGCCGTACTGGGTCAAGGTTAGGAAATAGTTGTTATCTATTACATCACGGTCTCTCACGGTGTCCATCTCCAGTAATCCCCAATCGAGATCACTCCTGAAGGGCATTAAAGCAAGAAAAAAGAACGCAATCAAAATTATCTCAATTATCTCGACCATCTCCTCCAAACGCCGATTTTTTCCATTTTCCAATTTTCGATTTCTGAAGAGGGGGGGGGAGTGGGGGCTCCTCGGATAGGTGGGGAAATTTCCGATCCCAATCACTGATCATGAACCCATTTTGCCCCAGTGGTCAATGGAACATCGAGGAGAAACCGTTTGGAGTGGAAACATTAGGTTTTTCCGATTTTCGGTGAAGTGGTGGGGCAAAATGGATTTATGACCAGTGGGCGGGAGCGGAAATTTCCTCGGCTACCTAATGGGGTCACTTTTGTCCCGGTAATCACTCTCCGAAAACGAGAGTCGACGGTTTTCTTTATCAGTTATGACACGTGTGGGGAGCACCTGAAGATTAAGATAAAATTGTGATTACGAGGGGGGGATTGATAATGAACAAATCACGGTGGATCAATGATCCCCGGGTATTTGTTCGATAGCCAGAAAAATTTCTGTTCCGAGACACTGGTCATAAGTCCGTTTTGCCCCGGCGATATTTCCGGAGTCATGAAAAAACGGCGGAAAATCAAAACATTGTTTCGACGTTGAGAAAAAAACCAACGGGGCAAAATGGATTTAAGACCAGAGTTCGGAAGGGGAATTTTTCCGACCCATCGCTTGGGGTCACTATCGACCCCACCTTGCGTCCCCGCGAAAATTCGAAAATGGAAAAATCCGGAATTATCTGTTTTCTTCGAGATAATTTCTTATTTGAAATTTTTTACCTCGAGTGGTCACCATCGTGGAAGATTTCTGGATGATGATGCGCCCCGTTGAGGCCGATTGCGTGGAAAACAAAACTCGCAACGGCGATGATAAGCATCCAGTATTTAAAAGTTATCGATAAATTTTCAGTGGCATAAAACATGAATGCGGGGATTATGAATGGAACTACATCGCGGAATTCAATTTTCTGTCGCACCAGAAGCACTTCTATATATCTGAAAAAAAATTAATTAAAAAAAAAATTATCAATTTTTGTCTTCGAGTAGAGCCTTTGTATTCGTCAAGCCCGAAATTTCCAATTTTTTGTGTCAGGGTAACTAATTTTGGCCTCAGGAGTTCGAATATGCTATCCTGGAATTTCGGGAAATGTTTTGTTCTAAAAACTAGTATAATTTTTAGACATTTCAATTGAAAGAGTCAAATTTTTTTCATTTTTTAATCCAATCTAGAATACATTGCCATTATCAAATATATTGACTACTAGGGAGCTCCGCCCCCTGCTCGCTTCGCTCGCCAACCCCGGGGCAACTTGGCCCCTCCGCTCGCTTCGCTCGCTCCCCCCTCCCGCCAATCTTCTTGGGAATGTTCAAGTATTCGTCCTATATAGAAAAAAAATTGATAGAATGATTTGACTTCTTTGACAAATTGAGATCTTTATTCCTATAGTAAAAAGGAGAAAGGAAATCGATCTCGAAATATCTCGAAAATCTCGAATCAGCGTAAGCGTAAGACTGAAACCGAAGCGCCACTACGTAAGGAGATGAGAAAGCGCGTGCGCAGCACGCGCGGCTGATCTTGTACTTACAAAAGGCTTCAACCAACGGCTTTTGTCGTGAGACTGAACCATTCATTTTCCCACTTATTTACATAGAATAGTATGAGATATACTATTATTATTCTTTAAGAATTTGACCCCATATGAACCTATAGAGATATGAGAGAGATACAAATGATAATTCATTCTCAATGACATCATCAGGAACACAGATAAGGGTCAGAATAAGGGTCAGCATCAGAGGCATAGTAAGGGTCACAATTAGCGTCACAGTAAGGGTCACAGATAAGGATCTGAATGAGGATCACAGTAAGGGTTAGAATCAGGATCACAGGTAAGAGTCAGAATCAGAGTTACAGATAAGGATCAGAATGAGGGTTACAGTAAGGGTCACAGTAAGGGGAATCAGGGTCACAGGTAAGGGTCAGAATTAACGTCACAGTAAGGGTCACAGATAAGGATTAGAATGAGGATCACAGTAAGGGTTAGAATCAGGATCACAGGTAAGAGTCAGAATCAGAGTTACAGATAAGGATCAGAATGAGGGTTACAGTAAGGGTCAGAATAAGGGTCACAGTAAGACTCAGTAAGGGGCATCAGGGTCACAGGTAAGGGTCAGAATCGGGATCACAGATAAGGGTCAGAATACGGGTCAGGAGTGTCTCCTGAATTTTTAAACCTCCTTATTTTTTCAGAAAGATGTTGTGGTGAAAGCAATTTCCCACTTATTATTTTTTCTCATCTAGCCATCGATTGATCAATCACTGAATTCTTCGCGATAAGCATTTAATCTTTATCACTATGCACACAGAATTATTAATGGAAATTCCCATTGTCTCGGCGGAATATTTTTTGTTCTCACATACTTTGACGATGGAGTCATCCAGCATTTGTCGTAGGTAAACAACTAGTTTTTATGGTTTGTCTTCAAAAAATGATAGCGGCATGGCGTGGAGGCCGTGGGAGTAAATGCGTTGTATAGGTCGGCAAAATTTTCCAGAGATTAAAAAAAAAGATAAACCGCTTTGCCCCGGGGGTTTTTGTTCGATGGATTTTAAAGAAGTTTTGGTTCTTCGGTAACTAGAGGAGAAGAGGGGAAAAAGGGATAGTTTTTTTGACTTGTTAGAATATTTATAAATTTATAGATTTATTGAATGGGGTCATTTTCGACCCGACATAATCGCAAAATAACGGTTTTGAAGGAATTTTTTTTTTTCGTGTTTGAAGGAAAATGATTTGTAAATTTGTTGTTTATCGTTTCTTACCTTTTCACCCCCTGCGAATGAAAGGCGATGAAGTAGAGGACGGGTGAATAGAGCCACGATATTTTTCGCGATATGGGTGCTGGAATTTTTGGCAGATACTGAAGCAACGGCTCAAAAGATATTATCTCAAAATCCCAAATTGTGTTTGGATACATGTGATGACTCATGGCGTGAGTTATACGCCACTCGCGGGATGACATCAGAGAGATGTCGAAGTAGTACATCCGAAAATTATCGCGCATGTGGAAGTAATTGTGTGCGGATATTACTGTGAAAGCCATGATGTGCCCTAAAAAAAGTAATTGGTATATTTCAACTGTTCTCCGTTGCACCGAATGAGATCGATGATGACCCCATTCGATGAATCCACAAATTCTCCATCGGCTTGAAAACAGAAGGATGAAAAATATTTTTTTATCTGTTCTTTTCATTATTTTTATCATGCAGGAGTTGCCATTTTTTACCAGCCATAATCAGTGCAAGTCGTGATTGCGTTATTGCCGTGATTACACACAAAAGTAGAGTTGCGATAGCCAGGAAATCAGCCAGTAAATTAGATTTCAAAGCTGGTCGATGAAAGTCAGTGTTCTTCAGGGCAACGATCGCTCGCTCCTTGAATTTTTTATAAAATCCATTCTTATCAAATGTCCAGGGAATTGCTCTTGGTTCGGCTGCCTCACGAATGTAAAATTTAGGCAATAATTTTTCAGCTTTATCAGTCAAGTGATGACTCTACAAAAATAAGAAACAGTAAATTTGACAGTCAGATTTTTTGTTGAACATGAAAAACAAATTTTTCATGACATCAGGCTCTAAAAGTCGCGCTTCAACTTCACGAACGTAAAACACCGTTTCTCGTCCTAGTCCGTAAAATCCACTTTTGCAGCCCGAACAGCGGCCGTAAAGTGCCTCATTTGATTCCCATAAGAATTAATCCTTTCTCCACTCTCGCAATAATTCTCTCATCTCAAAAAAATTATCTCACCTCGAACAATTCCGTGATATCAGTTCCCTTAGTGATAGTGAGCCACTCCGAACCCCCAGGATGTTTCTTCACAAAATTCGTGAGATCGTACAATCGATCGTTGATCCTCCACAACCCCTCCGCCCCGTCGAGCCTCCTCCTACCCTCCACCCATCCGTCACCCGTAGGTATCCTATCAAATCTCGCTGGAAACTCCGCCAGCCCCGGTATCGAACTCTTCATTATCGGTGTCTTCATCTTCCCGCGATCAAACAACAATCTTTACCCCAATTTATCTACCTTCAGATTAAAATCCTCAGCCAGAGAATTGTATTCATGTTCAAAGCACAATCATTTCAACGCTTTTAATAGGAAAAAAAAATTATTTGTAACTTTTGGAGACTACTGAATGAACTCAACGTTATTCGACGTTATGCAAAATTTGAGGAAAGGGGCTCTACATTATATACCATTCCTCCAACCACCCACTGATCACACTGACACGCATCACAAACAATGTGACCTCTCAATGATACCCTCAAGCTTTGTCGCTCGATCTCGATAAAACATCACTCGCATAACATGAAGTATGGGTCATTGTAAAATGCCAACAAATTGCATATGTAAATAAACTTCGGCAAATTATGAGGAAAAAACTCGCGAATATCTTGTCTCCTGCAATATTAATTACCGGAATGCTGCCTGAATAAAAATTTCATTAACATATTCCCATTTACGTACAATGCTTTATGAAAAATGAACGGAAATACCGTGGCAAAACTCGTCCCAACGAGATGCTCAACTTTAGAATGTCAAAATTGTCGTTGCCATTTGAAAAAAACTGACTCCATGCTTGCAACACGAAAACATAAGCAACGGGAGTCTAGATTCCATCAGCACTGAGTTCCTCTCTCCGCACCCAACGACCTCCATCTGATATTTAGCTGTCTGTCCCTTCCTCGAAGAGTTATTCAACCGTTCTGTTGCAAATGGTACACCCTGCATATGTAATAACAACACATACGTCATACGTATAATTCTCACATGTACAAGTTTCCATGCGGGCAAATTTCAAAAAAACCACAACCCAAAATATCATCGGAATAACCTTTATTCAACGTTCACCCCTCCATCCTTACCACTAAACATCTTACTGATCAGAAGTCACAATTGAAAACCCCCAACTGTCGATGCAGATACAAAAATATAACGCAATATCAGGCAAACCAAACGAATACAATTCAATAAACGTAACTCGTACGTTCTCATTCTACGAACAAAAAGATATGGGGGATCATCAGGACCCCATTGGATAGCCAGGTAAAGGTATCCGGTTAATTCATCCCAGGATAATTCATCCCACAAATTCATCCCATGACAATTCATCCCAAACAATTTCATCCCAAAACAAATTCATCCCACGACAGTTTCATCCCATTTTTTTATTATTACTGTTTGGATGAAGAATACACTTGGCAGAAGCGCGTGACTTATCGAATTAATTTTCAAGTTTATACTGATTTTGTAAACTGATGCTATGGTTATTACTTGTGGCCTATCTGGCGAATGTTAGTTGAGATGGATAAGAATGATTTGACAGTTTCTTTGCAATGTTTCCTGTTAATCCGTTGATCGGTTGTGTAAACAATACTAGGAGGGAATCATGAAGTATCTGATTGATTTAGATGTTGTGTTTAGTGGCTTTTTCTGTGAAAATAAAGTTAATTTTTCTCTCCCTGAATTATCGTTGTGACCGTGAAAAATTCCATTGGAATTTGATGGTTGGGATGAAATTGTCGTGGGATTGATTTGTTTTGGGATGAATTTGTTTGGGGTAAATCATCCGGGATGAATTGGTTTGCGATGAGTAGTCCGAGATGAATTCAGCCGTCATTCAGACTTTTCAGTTTCCCTTATCATTTTGTTTTCTCAATTTTCTCGTTAATTACCGGGGGTAAATGGGTGTATTTTTTCATTAATCTTATCGTGTTTCCATCCATCGACTGAGACTATTTTCCCTCAATTATCTCGAGTCCTCCTCGAGATAAACGCTCCTTCGTGAAAAAATAATTATCTTATCTGTAATTTGTTTTCGTCTCAACTCTTCGCAATTGCCGAAACTGCCCCTTCATCAGTTCCAAGGGTGTGAATCTCCCCAAACCAATGCCGAACTCACGACAAGTGTCCTCGAGCGCTGGTAAACACAGATGCAAATAGCTGTGATCGACCGTTGGCATTAAATGATGAAGACTGTGAAGGCCGAATTGAGTTAGAGCTAGAAAATAGGAGTCGTCTACTATTTCCCGGTCTCTCACTGCGTCCATCTCCAGTAATCCCCAGTCAAGATCTTCCCTGTGAGAAAATTTTTTCTCAATTATCTATTTCAATTATTTTTCTCACACTAGAGGGATTTACTAGAGGGAAATTAACCAACTCGATAGAAGGAAATTTTACATCTTTCGCAAAAATTAAAATTTTGTCGTGATCATCAGAACATCAAATCAGGGATCCCCATCGATATTAAATTTCTGTAATATTACAAGGATTTGACCCTTACATTATTGAAAGTTCAAAATATGCTGATTCAATTTTTCAAATAATATAATATTAATAATCTGATTTTTTACGAATAATGATATATTTAAAATTTATTAATATGAAACTGTAAATTTATTACTAAGTGAATAATTCAAATTTCTTGAAAGGGGATTTTCGATTGCACAAGTAATCGTCAGTCTTCCTAACTCAAATTATTGATTGATAAAATAGTTGAAAATTTGAATATTTGACCCTTCGCCCGGGCTACGTTGTACTTTTGGATATTTTCAGTTTTTTAATTTTTCAACTAAATTCCATGGAAAAAATTTGAACAAATTCATACCCAGTCAGTATTATCTAAATTAAATTTCGCAAAATATTGATATTTTTTCAAACATTTCCCTCTTATAAATAAATAATAAAACTTGTTTGCAAAACGGTGGGTTATTTTTTATAAGGTGTCAAAAAAATTCTTGATTTTTTCACATCTAATGAAAAAAAATTCAGATTTTAATCTTTGATTACAATGGGAATGTTGATTTTCACATAAGACACTGGGTTAAATCCTCATTTTTAAACATTTCTTCTTTGAAAAACCAAAACGATAATTAAATTGAGAAAAAAAATAGAATTCCGAATCTAATCGAGTTTTCTGCAATTTTTTTGCAGTTTTCAATAATCTTTGAATTTACCGTGAGGGTAGAGCTACTTTAAGTAGTCAAAAAATTTCAAGAGTGATGTTATCTAATTAAGAGCTACAATATTAATCGTAATAAAATATTACAAATTTGGCTACCCCTGCATTAAACATCAAATTTTTCCCCAAAAGAAATTTTTTCTCTCACTGCAACTCTTAAACAATCTCTTTCACGTCTACGAATTCTTTCAATTATTCAATTCTCACTTTTCCCCGCGCGGGGCGAAGGGGAGGGGAACGACTATTGGATCATGGGATAGGCGGGAAAATTTCCAATTTCAAACCCTGGTCAAGAGCCCATTTTGCCCCGTTAGTTATTTGAATATCGGAAAAAATGTTTTAAAGTCGAAAATTTGTTTTTGTGGAATGCAAACAAACCACTGGGGCAAAATGGGTTAATGACGAGGGTTCGGAAGTGGAAATTTTCTGATCCAGCGATTGGGGTCGGTGCGGACCCCATCCCCGAATTTTCGAAAAATTGAGGAATTAAAGGTCTCGTTGAGTCATTTACCTTGGATTATCACCGTCGTGGAAAATATCAGGATGATGATGAGCCGCGTTGAGGCCGATTACATGAAAAATAAAGCTCGCGACACCGACGATAAGAATCCAATCGCAAAGAGCTTGTGATAAATTACCAGTAGCTAAAAACATCGATATGGGGATGATAAATGGAACGACATCGCGAAATTCAAGATTTTTTCGCACCAAGAATATTTCTGCATATCTGAAAATACAACATTGCTGGTTAAAAGAAGACACACTGTTAAAAAAATTTAACTGAATTCAATTTAACGGAAGAAAGTCTATGAAATTTCAAGTTTCCCTGAAAATTCAGGGAAATTCCTGATTTTTCAGTGGAAGAACCATGAAGATTCCGAAATTTCCATGGATTTTCAATGTAACCATGATAATTCAATAAGAAATTGCTCTGAAATTTCAAAAAATTTAAAATTTAATTTAAATTAATTTTCATGGGATAATTTAACTGAAATTTGAAATTTCCATGAATTTTCCACGGAAACCATGAATTTTCAATGGTAAAATTCCCTGAAATTTCAATGAAACCGTCATTTGTTTCATATTTCAAAATACAACATTGCTGGTTAAAAGAAGACACATGTTAAAAAAATTTAACTGAATTTTCCAGAAAATGACACTGAATTCAATTTAACGGAAGAAAGTCTATGAAATTTCAAGTTTCCCTGAAAATTTAAGGAAATTCCTGATTTTTCAGTGGAAGAACCATGAAGATTCCGAAATTTCCATGAATTTTCAATGTAACCATGATAATTCAATAAGAAATTGCTCTGAAATTTCAAAAAATTGACAATCTAAGGACATTTTTGCTTGAATTTTCCTAATTTCCATTAATTTTCATGGAATAATTTGACTGAAATTTGAAATTTCTATGAATTTTCCGCGAAAACCATGAATTTTCAATGGTAAAATTCCCTGAAATTTCAATGAAACCGTCACTTATTTCATATTTCAAGACTAAAGCCTGGAAACTTCAATAAATTTTTTTTAACAGTGCACCTCGATAAAGATAGAATGATAAAATAAAATGCACGGGAAAAAGGGGAAATTGAAAAAAACTGGATTTTTTCGGAATTCATAATTTAATTGATCAATCGGGGACTCCATCGAGATAAGAATTTAATCTCAATTTATCCGAGTGCACACGGAATTCTAAATGGACTTGGCTGATGGAATATTTCTGTGTCACGTGCTCTATCGATTGATTCATCGCGCGTTTGTCATAGGAAACGAAATTTTTTTCTCATTTGTCTCCAAAATAATGATTGCGGGGCCGGGAGGGGACGATCCGTTTTGCCCCGGGGGTTTTTCTGAAATATCCAGAAGCGACTTTGATGGAAAATGTTGTGCGTTCGATAATTGGAGGGATAGTGGGGCCAAAATATTATAATCTCCTAATTTATTTTCATATTTATTTTTCAAATTTATATACCATCTTTGAATTTCCATAATGTGGCGAACCCTGGGTTCGCGAATTTAATTTAATTTAGTTTTGAATTTAATTTTAGACCTCAATGTAATACAGTAGGAGCTTCGTATAAGATACCTCTCTATAAGATACCTCTATAAGATGATTCGCAGTTTTTAACCCTAGTTGGTCACCATATGAGAACTTGCGACTTTGGTCACCTCCGCAGGGAATCGCCGCCGTGTTATTTAGGCCCGAGCGTTGCCGAATTCACTCTATACTGCCCGGGCGCGTTTAGCGAGGTTTCGGCAACGTCGCACAACGGGCAGTTTCATTTAACATGGGAAAAAATTGCCCGTCTGTTAGAAATAATTTTTTTCTTCAGGAATTGTGGATATAAATACTTTTAAAAAATATTCCAATTTTCTAGACACTTGAATTGACGCATTCCAATTTTTCAGGATTTTTCCGCTCAGCCAGTCATCGGTAAGAAAAAAAAATCGACCTTCTGCGGCGTTTCCTCCTTTCCTATGGTGACCAAGCTAGGGTTAAATTTGCGCGTAAATTTCTCTCCGCGTTTGGTTTGGGTTTTTCAAGGAAAATTATGGCTGAATGTGTTTTTACTGTTCATTACCTTTTCACCCCTTGCGAATAAAACGCTAAAAGGTAGACGACGGGGGAATAGAGCCATGCGAATTTTCGTGATACGGGTGCCGCAATTGTTGGCAGATACTGAAGAAACGGCTCAAAAGTCAGTATCTCAAAATCCCAAATTGTATTTGGATACATGTGATGACTCATGGCGTGAGTTATTCGCCACTCGCGGGATGACATCAGAGAGATGTCGAAGTAGTACATGCGAAAATTGTCGCGCATGTGGAAGTAATTGTGTCCGGTTATTGTTGTGAAAGCCATGATTGTCCCTAAAAAAAGTAATAGGTATATTTCAACTGTTCTCCGTTGCATCGAATGGGATCGATGATGACCCCACTCGATGAATCCACAAATTCTCCATCGACTTGAAAACAGAAGGATGAAAAATATTTTCTTTATCTGTTTTCGTTATTTTTAGCATCCAGGAGTTGCCATTTTTACCAGCGATAATCAGTGCAAGTCGTGATTGCGTTATTGCCGTGATTACACACAAAAGTAGAGTTGCGATTGCCAGGAAATCAGCCAGTAAATTAGATTTCAAAGCTGGTCGATGAAAGTCAGTGTTCCTCAGACCAATGATCGCTCTTTCCTTGAATTTTTTATAAAATCCATTCTTATCAAATGTCAGGGGCACTGCTCTTGGTTTGACTGCCTCACGAATGTAAAATTTAGGCAATAATTTTTCAGCATTACCAGTCAAGTGATGACTCTACAAAAACAAGAAACAGTAAATTTGACAGTCAGATTTTTTGTTGAACATGAAAAACAAATTTTAGATCACATCAGGCTCTAAAAGTCGCGCTTCAACTTCACGAACGTAAAACACCGTTTCTCGTCCTAGTCCGTAAAATCCACTTTTGCAGCCCGAACAGCGGCCGTAAAGTGCCTCATTTGATTCCCATAAGAATTAATCCTTTCTCCACTCTCGCAATAATTCTCTCATCTCAAAAAAATTATCTCACCTCGAACAATTCCGTGATATCAGTTCCCTTAGTGATAGTGAGCCACTCCGAACCCCCAGGATGTTTCTTCACAAAATTCGTGAGATCGTACAATCGATCGTTGATCCTCCACAACCCCTCCGCCCCGTCGAGCCTCCTCCTACCCTCCACCCATCCGTCACCCGTAGGTATCCTATCAAATCTCGCTGGAAACTCCGCCAGCCCCGGTATCGAACTCTTCATTATCGGTGTCTTCATCTTCCCGCGATCAAACAACAATCTTTACCCCAATTTATCTACCTTCAGATTAAAATCCTCAGCCAGAGAATTGTATTCATGTTCAAAGCACAATCATTTCAACGCTTTTAATAGGAAAAAAAAATTATTTGTAACTTTTGGAGACTACTGAATGCACTCAACGTTATTCGACGTTATGCAAAATTTGAGGAAAGGGGCTCTACATTATATACCATTCCTCCAACCACCCACTGATCACACTGACACGCATCACAAACAATGTGACCTCTCAATGATACCCTCAAGCTTTGTCGCTCGATCTCGATAAAACATCACTCGCATAACATGAAGTATGGGTCATTGTAAAATGCAAACAAATTGCATATGTAAATAAACTTCGGCAAATTATGAGGAAAAAACTCGCGAATATCTTGTCTCCTGCAATATTAATTACCGGAATGCTGCCTGAATAAAAATTTCATTAACATATTCCCATTTACGTACAATGCTTTATGAAAAATGAACGGAAATACCGTGGCAAAACTCGTCCCAACGAGATGCTCAACTTTAGAATGTCAAAATTGTCGTTGCCATTTGAAAAAAACTGACTCCATGCTTGCAACACGAAAACATAAGCAACGGGAGTCTAGATTCCATCAGCACTGAGTTCCTCTCTCCGCACCCAACGACCTCCATCTGATATTTAGCTGTCTGTCCCTTCCTCGAAGAGTTATTCAACCGTTCTGTTGCAAATGGTACACCCTGCATATGTAATAACAACACATACGTCATACGTATAATTCTCACATGTACAAGTTTCCATGCGGGCAAATTTCAAAAAAACCACAACCCAAAATATCATCGGAATAACCTTTATTCAACGTTCACCCCTCCATCCTTACCACTAAACATCTTACTGATCAGAAGTCACAATTGAAAACCCCCAACTGTCGATGCAGATACAAAAATATAACGCAATATCAGGCAAACCAAATGAATACAATTCAATAAACGTAACTCGTACGTTCTCATTCTACGAACAAAAAGATATGGGGGATCATCAGGACCCCATTGGATAGCCAGGTAAAGGTATCCGGTTAATTCATCCCAGGATAATTCATCCCACAAATTCATCCCATGACAATTCATCCCAAACAATTTCATCCCAAAACAAATTCATCCCACGACAGTTTCATCCCATTTTTTTATTATTACTGTTTGGATGAAGAATACACTTGGCAGAAGCGCGTGACTTATCGGATTAATTTTCAAGTTTATACTGATTTTGTAAACTGATGCTGTGGTTATTACTTGTGGCCTATCTGGCGAATGTTAGTTGAGATGGATAAGAATGATTTGACAGTTTTTTGCAATGTTTCCTGTTAATCCGTTGATCGGTTGTGTAAACAATACTAGGAGGGAATCGTGAAGTATCTGATTGATTTAGATGTTGTGTTTAGTGGCTTTTTCTGTGAAAATAAAGTTAATTTTTCTCTCCCTGAATTATCGTTGTGACCGTGAAAAATTCCATTGGAATTTGATGTTTGGGATGCAATTGTCGTGGGATTGATTTGTTTTTTGATGAATTTATTTGGGGTGAATCGTCCGGGATGAACTGGTTCGGGATGAGCAATCCGCGATGAATTCGCCTAGAACCCCAGGTAAATTCCTCTTCAAATGAAACAAGAACCCTCAAAACCCAACATGACCCGACGAAGAAATCCTCCAGCATCATCGTAGAATCTCCACGAAAGTAACTCGTCCTTCAGACATTCCCAACCCTCTCAGCTCCCCTCGTCCTTTTATATTCTCAAAAAAATTAAATTGACGAGAAAATAGAGATTTTCTCGTCAATTTCCGGGGCTTGGGGTGTATTTTTCCGTCAATCTTATCGTCGCCAATGAGTCGTCCTCCAGCCTCTCCCTGAAATCCCCCCGCCACTCCAGCCCTCTCACATCGTCTTATTCAGAATATTCGGGTAATTACACCTCCTGCACAGGTAGATGTTGACGTACTTAGCAGCGTGCTTCCTCATAGCCTGACAGCCGTCCTGGAGCACCTCCTCCCCGAACTTCCTCCTCCTCCTGGAGCTCCCGCTGATGCCCTTGAGCGGTCTGTGCACGTCCTCGTGGCTCTCCCCCATCGTGTCTCTCGTCCTGACAGTCATGTAGAAGTCGTTGTCCCCCGGGTCCCTGTCGACGTAACCGAAAAACTCGTTCTGACAGGCTTTGCTCCTGCAGTGGCCCTTGATTCTCAAGTAGTGAAGGCTGTTCGGTGACTCGTAGATCTTGGAGGTGTTGAAAACAAAGGCACAGGGCAGTCTAGTCTGTTTGGCGACAGCCAGTGCCAGAATGTTTGTCCAGATTCCTGGGGTCAGGGTGGTGTAGTCGCGCTTGCCTAATCTCCTCCTCTGGCTCTTCATCTCCTGCCACTGAGTGCGGGTTATGAGGACGTCGAAGTGGGCGAGACCCGACGCCTCGGCGTCAATCTCGAAGTCACTCATGTCGTCGGCCGGGTATTTAGAGTCGGTGANCAGTCAAGTGATGACTCTACAAAAACAAGAAACAGTAAATTTGACAGTCAGATTTTTTGTTGAACATGAAAAACAAATTTTAGATCACATCAGGCTCTAAAAGTCGCGCTTCAACTTCACGAACGTAAAACACCGTTTCTCGTCCTAGTCCGTAAAATCCACTTTTGCAGCCCGAACAGCGGCCGTAAAGTGCCTCATTTGATTCCCATAAGAATTAATCCTTTCTCCACTCTCGCAATAATTCTCTCATCTCAAAAAAATTATCTCACCTCGAACAATTCCGTGATATCAGTTCCCTTAGTGATAGTGAGCCACTCCGAACCCCCAGGATGTTTCTTCACAAAATTCGTGAGATCGTACAATCGATCGTTGATCCTCCACAACCCCTCCGCCCCGTCGAGCCTCCTCCTACCCTCCACCCATCCGTCACCCGTAGGTATCCTATCAAATCTCGCTGGAAACTCCGCCAGCCCCGGTATCGAACTCTTCATTATCGGTGTCTTCATCTTCCCGCGATCAAACAACAATCTTTACCCCAATTTATCTACCTTCAGATTAAAATCCTCAGCCAGAGAATTGTATTCATGTTCAAAGCACAATCATTTCAACGCTTTTAATAGGAAAAAAAAATTATTTGTAACTTTTGGAGACTACTGAATGCACTCAACGTTATTCGACGTTATGCAAAATTTGAGGAAAGGGGCTCTACATTATATACCATTCCTCCAACCACCCACTGATCACACTGACACGCATCACAAACAATGTGACCTCTCAATGATACCCTCAAGCTTTGTCGCTCGATCTCGATAAAACATCACTCGCATAACATGAAGTATGGGTCATTGTAAAATGCAAACAAATTGCATATGTAAATAAACTTCGGCAAATTATGAGGAAAAAACTCGCGAATATCTTGTCTCCTGCAATATTAATTACCGGAATGCTGCCTGAATAAAAATTTCATTAACATATTCCCATTTACGTACAATGCTTTATGAAAAATGAACGGAAATACCGTGGCAAAACTCGTCCCAACGAGATGCTCAACTTTAGAATGTCAAAATTGTCGTTGCCATTTGAAAAAAACTGACTCCATGCTTGCAACACGAAAACATAAGCAACGGGAGTCTAGATTCCATCAGCACTGAGTTCCTCTCTCCGCACCCAACGACCTCCATCTGATATTTAGCTGTCTGTCCCTTCCTCGAAGAGTTATTCAACCGTTCTGTTGCAAATGGTACACCCTGCATATGTAATAACAACACATACGTCATACGTATAATTCTCACATGTACAAGTTTCCATGCGGGCAAATTTCAAAAAAACCACAACCCAAAATATCATCGGAATAACCTTTATTCAACGTTCACCCCTCCATCCTTACCACTAAACATCTTACTGATCAGAAGTCACAATTGAAAACCCCCAACTGTCGATGCAGATACAAAAATATAACGCAATATCAGGCAAACCAAACGAATACAATTCAATAAACGTAACTCGTACGTTCTCATTCTACGAACAAAAAGATATGGGGGATCATCAGGACCCCATTGGATAGCCAGGTAAAGGTATCCGGTTAATTCATCCCAGGATAATTCATCCCACAAATTCATCCCATGACAATTCATCCCAAACAATTTCATCCCAAAACAAATTCATCCCACGACAGTTTCATCCCATTTTTTTATTATTACTGTTTGGATGAAGAATACACTTGGCAGAAGCGCGTGACTTATCGGATTAATTTTCAAGTTTATACTGATTTTGTAAACTGATGCTGTGGTTATTACTTGTGGCCTATCTGGCGAATGTTAGTTGAGATGGATAAGAATGATTTGACAGTTTTTTGCAATGTTTCCTGTTAATCCGTTGATCGGTTGTGTAAACAATACTAGGAGGGAATCATGAAGTATCTGATTGATTTAGATGTTGTGTTTAGTGGCTTTTTCTGTGAAAATAAAGTTAATTTTTCTCTCCCTGAATTATCGTTGTGACCGTGAAAAATTCCATTGGAATTTGATGTTTGGGATGCAATTGTCGTGGGATTGATTTGTTTTTTGATGAATTTATTTGGGGTGAATCGTCCGGGATGAACTGGTTCGGGATGAGCAATCCGCGATGAATTCGCCTAGAACCCCAGGTAAATTCCTCTTCAAATGAAACAAGAACCCTCAAAACCCAACATGACCCGACGAAGAAATCCTCCAGCATCATCGTAGAATCTCCACGAAAGTAACTCGTCCTTCAGACATTCCCAACCCTCTCAGCTCCCCTCGTCCTTTTATATTCTCAAAAAAATTAAATTGACGAGAAAATAGAGATTTTCTCGTCAATTTCCGGGGCTTGGGGTGTATTTTTCCGTCAATCTTATCGTCGCCAATGAGTCGTCCTCCAGCCTCTCCCTGAAATCCCCCCGCCACTCCAGCCCTCTCACATCGTCTTATTCAGAATATTCGGGTAATTACACCTCCTGCACAGGTAGATGTTGACGTACTTAGCAGCGTGCTTCCTCATAGCCTGACAGCCGTCCTGGAGCACCTCCTCCCCGAACTTCCTCCTCCTCCTGGAGCTCCCGCTGATGCCCTTGAGCGGTCTGTGCACGTCCTCGTGGCTCTCCCCCATCGTGTCTCTCGTCCTGACAGTCATGTAGAAGTCGTTGTCCCCCGGGTCCCTGTCGACGTAACCGAAAAACTCGTTCTGACAGGCTTTGCTCCTGCAGTGGCCCTTGATTCTCAAGTAGTGAAGGCTGTTCGGTGACTCGTAGATCTTGGAGGTGTTGAAAACAAAGGCACAGGGCAGTCTAGTCTGTTTGGCGACAGCCAGTGCCAGAATGTTTGTCCAGATTCCTGGGGTCAGGGTGGTGTAGTCGCGCTTGCCTAATCTCCTCCTCTGGCTCTTCATCTCCTGCCACTGAGTGCGGGTTATGAGGACGTCGAAGTGGGCGAGACCCGACGCCTCGGCGTCAATCTCGAAGTCACTCATGTCGTCGGCCGGGTATTTAGAGTCGGTGAAGATCTCCTCCTCGACTTCCACATCGTCGTCGTCGTCGTCGTAGAGCATCTGGAGGTCCTCGTAATCGCCGCTCTGGATCTTTGGCTTCTTGAGCTTGGGCTCGGGCTCTGGGAGGACGATCCCCTGGTTCTCGCGAGCCGCTGTCAGGATCTTTCGGCGGTCCTCGCGGATGCTTGTGTAGCAGTTGTGGTGACTCCAGCGTTGACCCAGGTCTTTTGACATGTCCTTCCAGACCGGCGAACAGTACGGGGGGAATTCGTTCGTCCTGAAGTAGTCGATGTACTTCTCGATCACTGCGATCGCGTCGTCCCGGGGGACTAATGATGGTCGCGGCATTTTTCCGCTGGGATTTCTGGAAATTAGAGAATTTTTCGGGCTATTTGGTGGGAGAGCTAGTTTTTGACGAATATCTCGGAATCTAAAAGAGATAGAAAGATTTTTGTCATGACCTTTTTTGTAGAGCCAATAGAGCGTTATAAAAAAAGTCGTGAGAAAAATTTTGCTATCTCTCTTAGATTCCGAGATATTCAGCAAAAACTGGCTAATAGTCAAAATGGAATAATTTGTTTGTTATAAATAAATTTAGCATGTTCGAAGATCTCGGCAATCAATTGTCGGGGGACAATAATCATTTTTAAATACCCATGCGCGTTTCAGAACTTTTATAAGATCACGTATGGAATTTTTTGAGGATCAGTAATATCCTCTAGTGTGCGGAATCTTCTTTATGATCTCGTAAAAATCAAAATG